TCACAGAATGAAACCAGGATTGTCTGTTGAAAAAAATGATGCAATATGCCGTGGTCGATGTGGAGACAAAATTACCCACATATCATCAATGCCTCAAATTAACTTAGTGAAAAGGTTCAAAATCTCAAGGCAGCAGGGGACTACCAGGCATCTGAAGACAATAACAGATCCAAGCCAATTGGTCGCTGCTTGAAGGTCAAAAATGCAAGAATTTCCTCGTTATTTCATCTGAGACAGGGACAGAACAATTACCACTGCATTTCTAATCTCACGATGCATCTATGGACCCTTCCAACCAACTTCAAAGCCTCTCCTCTGCAAAAACAACCCTTGCGACGCCCCTCCACCTCCATAACAAATTACCATACAAAAGTCCCAGAGCACAGGACGCTTCACCGCACTGGATCTCTTCACAGACAGCATGATTGAAGTGTCTGCTCTCGGTATTTCCGGCGTGATCAAAGCGGATGAAGGCAGGCAGTTAGCAAGACGAGGGCCCCCAGAAATGAAAGCTCCTACCTGGGGCGTCCTGGCTGTGTGCCCGTATACTATGAGAAGGCACCTATTTCTATACACCGTGCCTTCGACTGGGTGTACGGTATACGTGTTAATTAGCGTTTTATGATTACATCTTTTTTATGGAGAAGGCTGTGACGATAAGGAGAATAAGGGAATTCGTTATCAGATTCATTTGGAATTCAGAGGCATGAAAAGGCTTCCTCCTGTCTCATCTCAGCTCATCCAGCGTTTGAAATGTGTCAGGGGTGTTCTATAGCAGCTCCATCCTTACAAATGTTAGCGGTGCATGGGTAGAGAGGTAGAGTAGATATATTTAGGATAAGCATGTTAAGTAGAAAGGATGCAAATAGCGACTCAAGGAAAAGGGCTGGAAAATCATCACCAGTCAGTCAGTAACCATATTATGAGGTTATATTGATGTAATAAAAAAGCAGAATGAATGAATGGATAAATAAACAGATAAATAAATAAACAAAGCATTAGTCATACATAGTGCTTTTCCAGCTGCTCAAAGGTGCATTATTCATTCACTCAATACTCTGTAGTGGTAAGATACTATTGTAGCCAGCTGCCCTGAGGTATTAACAAAAGCAAGGCTGCCAATCTGCACCATCAGCTCCTCCAACCACCACGAACACTCACGCACACACCACCTTACTGAGAAATTTGGGTGAAGTATCTTGCCCACGAACAGTTTTGCCACTGGCGCCCCACTGTGGCACCTGATATTCCCAGCGGTCTTGCAGTCCTAACCGAGCCCAGCCCTGCTTAGGTTCTGAGATCTGGCTTTAACAAGAAGCTAAATAAATAAATAAAGAGACAGAAGTTTAGGAAATAGTAGTAGTATGTATGTAGTAGTAATAGTAGTAGTAGTAGTATGTTATTTCTTACTTTATAGTCTAAATGTGCTTATCCATGGGTTTCAGCTTCCTGGTGACATACAGAGGACTTTCCACCATTCAAAAGACTTAATATTTTGTTTAAATTGTTAATTGCTATGGACAGTCCTAGTTTTCCATCATTCTGAAGCACATGGATTTCAGCACTGTAAGCTGAGGCCTGTAACTAATATGGATGCATGACTTTGCCTATTTTCAAAGGAAATGAGTTGGCACTTACAAGAAGTAAAGTGGGTCAGTCCCAAGAGCCAGCAGCCCACACTATTATTCAGCCAGGCCAGCAGCAGATGCAGGGACCTGTCCGCACAGATCTGAGTACATTAGCACCAGCTCGCTCTCACACATGCCCTCTTTGAGAAGCAGTTAAGTGGCTGCTGCAAACCACTACACAAACCAAGGCAGCTTTTCAATGGGAAAGACAGGACAAGCTGTTTTCCCCCACTGGTTTAAATTACAAATTCTTCTTCAGTAAGGGTTGGTTCAAAGAAAATCACTGTGCTGTCTTTTGTGAATATTTGCAGAAAAATACAAGTAAGTTCGGCTGCAGACCTCCACCCAAAAGTCTTAGTGTTGCTTTTTTTTTAATTTAATTTGCTGTTACTAAAGGTGTTTAAACTGACATTAAATGTTACATTTTTTGCATTTATTTTCCCTTCAAAGACTATACATCTCCAATACATTTTTAAGTTTCCTAATTTGAAATTAACCGTTGACCGTAGTCTTTTCTGCTTGTGTAGGGAAATTAGTAGTTTGTCCATGTGTATGTGTAAGCCCTGTGTCTGGTTAAGATTAGGCACAAATGTGTAATGGATAAAGATAGGAAAAGTATTTGGGCTTGTCTTTGGTGTAAAACAATGTCAACTTTTGTAATGTTACGTTGAAAACAGTGCCCAGGAAATATTGCAGTTTGGCAGAAGAGCAGGAGCAGTTTGTTTACTTTGAAAGACCTGTGGATGGAGCTAAGTCATGTGAGGGTCCTGTGGGTCTGCAGCCAGATCCCTCTCAAAAAATAAACTTTTATGTGATGAATAAACAAATAAACAAACAAACAAACAAACAAACAAAAAACTCAGTGTACTAGTACTTCTAAGCAACATGAAAAATGGATACAGTTATCATAGCAATTAAGTATTCAAAACAAAACATTAGATATTTTAAATGATCAAATGTCCTCAAAAAACACATCAGTAGGTGTTTGAAGGTCTAAGCAGTATGAGAGTTTTTCCTGTTTAGTAAAATATGAATCATTAAAGGTGCATTGTGTAACCTTTCTGCTCGAGGCTCTGCCATCTGCTTGTCTCTTTAGATGTTGTTGTTTGACTGTTCAACAGTATGGCTTCAGACTAATACATTTTGCCTTTTTTGAATAACAGATATTTTTGTTGCTCATTAAAAAGTCACTTAGCCTGGTGTTGCCACCTGCTTGTGTTAATGAAGATTAATTTAACGCCATACTTTGGGACATTCCAATTCTCCAAGGAGACAAGCAGGTGACAAACTATCCAAAAATATTAGTCTGTACACCTTTAAAATACTGGCACAATTTCAGGATAACATCCTAAACTTGAGGATGTATTATGAGTCTGTTAGAGTACACTAACCAAAACATCTTTTATTGTGCTTGTAAAATGTTCAATTATGGTGTAAAATCTCTTGCAGATATCACCCTTGAATTACACTGATTGTGCTCCAAACTGAAAAACATGAAAGAAAAAGCAATCGAAAATTGCAAACATTTTGGAAACATTGTTATAAATTGCCACTTTACAAGCAGAATTTTGTCAGACATGATCTTGTAAGCTGCATCTTTTAAGCTTTTCATTGTGATGTTCAGTGTGTAATATTATATCTTCTGTGTAAAGCTTTTAGTTTGTCTAGTTAAACCAAAAATACTGTGTCTCATTTAGTGTAGCTGTTGTCAAACCAGGCTGCCGCAGGTCCTTGCTCCTTGTACAAATAGTGAGTTTTGCCAAGTAAAAAGTGCTGGCATACACATCTTGAGTTTCAGTTGAATTATAGATGGAGCACTGGATTCCATTCCCAAACCAGTTCTGCTCCAATGGAAACATCAGTGATAGAGAATGACAAGTCTGCAATCCAATTATATGAACGGCCAGCTGTCAGCCCCAGACTCTGCCTACTCCGAAAGAGCACTGACAGAGGAGCACATGGAGGCTTTCTCTCACAATATCCATATAGTTGAAAAGGCATATTCAATGAGCTGAAGAACAGATGTGAGGGGTGCAGTGGGACAGTGTGTGTGTCCAGTGAATGAGAGAGAATCATGGTGCTGTAATCAGCCATCTCCCACAGGGCACACACTGCTGAGTGAGGTCCATGTTTCTGTCCAAAGACTAGGCTATACTCTGAGGGGACGTGGGTGCGTGGTGGGTTGTTTTTGATGGCTAATAACTACCACCCCAGCAGAAGTGTCTATCAGTCTAAAAATAAGTGCTGAGATAAAGATACAGTCAGTGGTGTTGCAAATCTGCAGTGAAAAGAAATCATCAAATATTATGAAACATTGAGTGGTCAGGGTCAGGGACTTATGTCACGTGAGACCTTTTGTCTCATAAGGACCAGTAATAAACATAACTTTTTTTTATGAACTGGTAGAGGGTTTGTGATTATTAAGAGTTATAAGCATTTCTAACTCTTAATAAGCACAAACCCTCTACCGGTTTGGCTGTTTAGGTTAATTTGCACTATATTTTACTTCTTATTATTTTCTTAACATATAGCCTATAATATTTTTTCTCTGGAGCCCAGTAGCAGGAGCAAGTAGCAAGCAGTAGCAAGATAGGATAGCATTTTTGATTTAAGATTTTGATTTAAGTCAATATGTAGGTCTACCACTTCTGCATAGAAAACACTGCCTATTTGAACAAACAAATATATAATATATATATATATATATATATATATATATATATATATATATATATATATATATATATATATATATATATATATATATATATATATATATATATATATATATATATATATATATAGGCTAACTGCTAACTGTTGAAACATTATAGTGTTTATAAGAACCTGAAGTATTATTGTTGAATTAATTCCAATTATGTGAGAAATTAAAACCAAAGAATGTTTCCTATAAAGGCAGAAGGTTACTCAGGTGTTGACTGAGGGGTTGTGGCCAAAAGTTTTGGGGGCAGGCAAAAAAGTGACCCAAAAAGTAACTTTTACGAGGAAGACAAATTACTGATATTGGAAACAGCAGTTAGGTCCAGAGCACTGTGAATATGGCTTATTTATAAATGAGCTCCTGAATGTAGGTTATTACACACGGTAAGGCTCCAGCATTCTCCCTCTCCACGCTGCTTGTACCTCGGACCATGAGCGATGGTTTGGGAAAAAAGCGGGGAAAGTTGGAGATGAATACTTCATCTGTGACCCACATAATGGCGTTATATGGGGCTCGCGAGGGCAGCTGTGCCGTGTAGCGCTGGCGGGAAGAGAGAGCTCTGAGCCGCGCGCACTTGCCTCGCTTCTTCGCATCTATCCACCCATCTCCTCATCCTCGGCTCCGTCCGCTCGCATCTAAAAGGAGGACAGGCGAAGGACACGGAACGGTCCTTACAGAGGACAGAGGAACCTAAAACGCGAACAATTCAAGTAAGTAGCCTCTGAATAGACCTCGCTTTGTGCATCCAAAAGGCGAAGCACTTGTTCAGGTTTACGCGGATCAGGATCAGATGAAAAGTGTTTGAACCAGCAGAAGCGTGTCCTGTTCTTTTACTGGGCTACATGAGCAGAGCTTCAGCAAAAGTTAATCATTTATTTATGACTTGCATGTTCATTCTGCACTTAATGTTTGGCGATGTGCCTTAACAGTAAAAAAGCAACAAGAGAATTATCCACGAGAGCAGAGCACGCTTGCTCACTAGTTGATGATCAAACCATAGCATTGTACACAAGCCTATTGGCTCATGTTGCTACAGTCTGTAGGCTGTTTACTTTGAGACAATGCTAATATCTGGTCAGACTATGGTAGTTCATTACATGTTTTTAGGGAAAACATAAGCTAACTAACCTATAAAGACCTTAAATATAGTTTGGCTCTTCTGTACTAATTTAACATAAAGTTATTGTCTAGTAAACCCTGTACTTTATTTGTGTACTATAGTGGTGCAGCTGCAGTAGGTTGTGGTAAGGCCATCGCATGATTGATGATGATAGATCTATTGTACCATTTCTTATGACAATGGTTTGACTGTAAAGACGGTCCAGTCTTGATTTGAAAGGTCATTTATTCAATATTCAGTGCGCCTGTCTGTCTGGGCTGTCTACAGTCAGCCTCTGCAGACATGTTCAGAGAGAAGAGTGACATTTCTTCCTCCTCTCAGGTCCCCAAGGGGCCCTCACTCTTCACACCACTCCAGAATGATAAAACCTTGAGGGATATTGCAAAAATAAAACTTACTGAAAGTTACTTACTTTAAAGTCACTGCACTCATATCAGTTCTATAGGCTATGCTTGGGCTGACCAAGTAATAATGCCGAGCTTTTATTTGCAGCTTTGATGTGACTGTGTCTCACTTAAGAAAATAATGTGTACATATTAATTGATTTGTTTTAGATTGAAAAAATATTTGCAAATGAACCTATTCTTGAATTTGAAACTGCCCTGTCCACTTTAATCACAGTATGTTGGGTGTAAGAAGATCATCCAGCATAAAACCAGGTAAATCATCATGCCAAAAAAAGAAGAAAAATGAAGGAAAATGAAAGCATACTATATAAACAACACACAATATGTAAAAGCAGGATGTTAAAGAAAGTGGCACAGATGGGAAATGCAAAAATAACTGTTACAAAACCATGCACTTGCTGCTTTGGTCCTTTGTGGTTCTGTAAACAACACTTCAAAGTTTAACATCAAATTAAAAGAAAATACATTTTCAGACGCGTACATTTATTTATTAACAACCTGCAGATTCCTTTGATATAAAGTAGGTCAGGGATATTTGATAGCCAACCAGTGCGTTTTTGCCAAATACTGTGTCTACACTACACATTAACACTCCTACGGTGGAACCATGAGGGAGTTCATTAGAATTTTGCTGACAGTAGATAGGTTGCCCATTCTCTCTCTATCACATAGTAATTACTTATAAGGCCACAGGGATTATAATGTCCCCAAGTCCCCTCAGTAATAGAGCCAGTGCTTCTTCTAGGGCTTTAGCTGTGCAAGCCATACGCTATCAGCTGCTCATTAGACAGTGCCCCTCGTAATATACCCTACTTTAATATCACAAGCCTCACTTCTACTTCTCTTCTTGCACTTACTTCCACACTGGTCTAACTTGATGCCTACACAGCAAGCCATAAAAGAGACAACAGGACTCAAGTGTATATGAGGGCTGCACAATATCCTGCAAGTATTGATATTGCATTATTGGCTGAAGCAATAATCAATATCGCACCAAGGTTAATGAAAAATAAATGTGTATTTTTAAAAGTGCACTCTGTAACTTTCCTGGTGGGGGGAGGGCGTTCATCAGGCCAGTCGAGGTCATGCTAATGCTTTGGAGGCTTGGAATGCTCTAAAGTATGAAATTAAATTAAACGGACCCTCGTTGCATTTACTCAGTAGAGTTTTTATTGTTCTACAAACATAAAAACACCTTGCAAAATATATTCTTACTGTGAGCTCTCCACACGCTTGTCCAGGTGTTGTCAAATACAAAGATAAGTTTAATGCCATACTGTGGAACATTTCAGGCAAAGCAGTAACATCATTATGGAGACAAGCAGGTGATGTGCCTCAAGAAGAGAAGTTACACAGTGCGTTTTTTAAATAAAAAAATGTAGATTGTTTATTATGACAGACTAGCTTGCAAAATAAGGCATGCACTGAAATTACTATTGTGTATACATTAAAATACTGCAATACTGTGAATAATACTGCTAATCACAATACTGAAACTGAACAGCAATATTGCAGTCTGTTCCAATATTGCGCAGCCCTGGAGTATATATAGTACTGTGTAAATGAAATATGTATGCCGTTATGTAACATGCATCTTCTTTGTTGCAGGCATATCAAGTCTTCACACACAGCTCCAGTGATGTTTGCATCTTCCTAAAGGTCTGTGACTATTTCCGTCCTGGTTTCTTACCTCCTCAGTGATTAATTCCACTTGAGCACCAACCTGTTTCCAACTCTCACATGGAGGCTCATTTGTGCATCTGTGATATAGTGTGAATGTGCAATTACTATGGTGTAAATAAGCAAACATAATGTGGCCATGGTCTGTCCTCATTGGCCTGGACTGTCCAAAGCTGAATCCATCAAATGCAGAGGGATTCTCCACAGACGCTTTAAACCCTTTATGCACATAAATCAGCATTTGAGAGCGGCTTCCTTGAGGGACTTGTGCAGAGTTCGCACAGGTGTGACGTCAAGCCTCTGTTTACTGAGAAATGGCCTGGAGCATTGAAAAAAATGTAGCAAGCACAGAATAATACTGGCTAAACTTTCAGAGAAAAAAATAACCTTGTTGGCATACGATTTCAGATTCATAAGGTCCTACTTATCAAGTTTAGTTTTTATTTTCAATCTAACATTTTGGCATAGTTAATTTTTTATTTATTTATTTATTTTTTTGCATTATTAGTTTTCCAGAGACTTCAGTTATTCAGTCAGACCATAAAGTGTATCAAACAATCGTCCTTACTTGGGACAGTCCAATCACAGCCACAAATTTACAGCATATATCCTGAAATTAGAATGGACTTCTTATCTTATGTATTTTTCACACTTATAAGTTGTACTAAATGAAAAACATCAAGAGTGGGGGAACTCCATATGCTTTCTGTTGTACGTGCCACACACTGACGACACAATTCAGTTGCCACGGTTACGATGTATTCACTTCCACAGCATCTGTCACTTCCACACACACATACACAAATGAACGTTTAAATAAGAGCCAGCAAAACATCCAGGGACGGCTGCGTGAAGCTCCGATCTGAAATGCCAACTGCTCCGCAACAACCGCAGCCAACAACCAGCCACAACTGATTAGCCCGTAGCTCTATCATTAAAGTAGCTGGAAGCCGCCATGGCACAATTAGCAGCTAATTCAGTTTGCAGGCACCACATAGACACAGGAACAGCTGGCCGTGAGCATTTTGTCACTGTAATCTGTGGAATACTATTTCAGTATACACAGTGAGATTTCAGCACCCAGTAAGCTCCAAAACTCAAGGTACTTTTTTAGTAAATGGAAAGACTAACAAAATAGTTGCAGTACACGATCCTAAAGGTGCATTGTGTAACTTTTCCACTGGAGACTCCATCAAATGCTTTAATCCACGGAGAATGCTTTGTCTGGAATGTTTGACAGTATGGTATTAAATCTTTCCATCTTCATGAATATCAAACCAGACCAAGTTCGCTCAGATGTGTGTTGAGGTATCCCTGCTCACAGTCAGAATGCCTGTTTTTCTAGGTATTTTTGAGCTATAAAAAACCCTATAATTTTATAAATGCAAGGTAGATCTGTTTAATGTCTTACTGTGGAACATTCCAGGCAGCACAACAAAGCCATAGAAAGAAGCAGATGATGGACCCCCAGCCAAATGTTACAGGGATATAAGCTGCAGTCACTCAAAAGACTAAGGTGGAATCTTACGTTCTTATCCAACCTGCACTACTTCCCACCTTTCTTCTGCCCAGTTAATGATTAATGATTAATTTCTTCTTTATTACTGATTTTACATTCTTATATTTTTCCTGTCTTCCAATGCAGTTATGTGAAAATGCTTTTGCCTTCTTTTTCAGTTGCCAGGTTTCTGAGCCATAGCCTATAGAATTGAGGGGGACTGACTTTAGTTTTAATTTAGTCGGCTTGTTTTAATTTCTTTCTTTAGTTCACCAGACGTAACACCAGCTTTGCTCTCCTTAAGCTAACCTTGGTTTCTTTTCATGAGAGCCAAATTGTCTTCAAAGTCAAAATGGAAAATTTGCAGCAGACTCCTAAATAAGTTGTATCGCATTCTGGCAATGACAAGGCTTAATAGAAAAGGGGATAATATACAGCCTCGGAGGACTCCTGTATGAGTATAAAAACGGTCACTGATTACTAGTCAACATAGAACACAACATTTTGAGTCTCTCTTAACATATTTGTAAACATTTTTACTGACACTGTGTGTCTGTGGATGAAGGACGGCGTATCATGTTGCGCATATACCATCATGTGCTATAACTTCTACCCGACCCTGTTAATTATTGTGAGCAAACTATAAAGTCCTATCTGATGGCATTCATAATTGTATTAGTCACCCCAGATGTCACCTCACAATTATACATCAAAGCTGGAATAAACATAAAAAATACATCTTAAAACAAAGTGTTTAAGTAAGTATGGTACACAGTGCGGTAACAACTGTGGGTAATTTGGATAGTTCACATTTGAGGATATGTTATTCTTCTGTTATTCTTCTGTATTGTGCACTATGGTCTTTTTGTCTTTGGGGGTGATTTATTAGCAGTGGCACACGGTCTGTTCAGGTCGGCACAGCGGAGATAAGATTAGAGGGAGGAGGTGCCATTGGCTGTGAGCTCCCTTGAGGCTGAGGCAGGCCCAAATGTATTGATCCGGGAGGCAGCTTAGACACTCCAAAGGGAGAAGTGGTTGAGTGAATTTGTCGTAGCAAAACCATCAGATTTTAGCTTTGTGTGCAGTGCTCTGTTTAGCTAGCATATCCACATAATCCTGTCTGGACCCAGTCAGCTGGAGCTCAGGGCTTCATGCAGACTTCAGGCAAAAGGGAAGCTGCCAAAGAACAGACCCAATCGGAGTGGACACATGGCAGGAGCACAGGGGCATGTGGAGACCTGGAGGTTAAGCTCAACACTATTGAGAGAAAGGAGCAAGAGAACATGTTGTACACAACAGCAGATTATGTTAGCAACTAGAGATGCACCAATCCAATACTGGTATCAATACTGGCGCTGGTGCTGAAAAATGTGCTCGATTGGCCAGCATAAAAGGACGCCAATATGCACCTATAGTAGTAGGCAGAAAAGAATGTCTTGAGAAGTGACATAACTGAAGGTTGATGGATTTGATAACTGATATGATAACATACTGTTATCATGTCCTTGGCCAGGTACGTAAAGGCAGAGATTGGCAGCGGCACCACTATTAGTCTGCCCCGGGACAACTGTGGTTACAATGAATGACAGTCATATCCAGAGCTTATACTGTGCCTCCTAACAGTGCTAGCAGTATTTTTTTCAGGAGGGAATATCCTGTTGATAATATTCAGACAATGTTATGGCAATCACTCATCCAAAATGTTCTCATAGGCTAAATGCTTAGGCCAAGGTTCAGACATTGCAGAAAATGGAGAGTCAAATCAACCTTTATAATAAAACAAGCTTTCAGTGTGATCTTTCACTTAGGGGTAATATTCTCGTGCTTTACACTTAGACCAGGGCTACAAACTGAAATGTCTATGTGAATGTGAATCTTAAAAGCCTGTCTGTAAATATCTCAGATATTAGTTATTTCAGTGTTTTAAATGAAGCTAGTCCCTACAATCCACTCACATTTGTTTACTTTTGCTATGGCGATGTCATGGTGATGGGCACAGAGCAGTGATATACAATATGATTTTACAGTTGCTGGACTACTTGTGCGTGCTGCAGTATTATTAATGTACCGCACTTGGCCATTGGAATTCTCACTAACTGAGGTCTAAACTAAATTTATCTGGGTTACACGCAGGGCTGGCTCCTGCTAAATAAAAGTACACATATACCTCTATATTTGCACACCTACATTTTAGTCTGCCCCACCCAAATTCTGCAGGGTGAAACTGGCCTATATTATTTCAAAATTACCAGAACCAGATTACTATTACTAATTAAAACTATATAAATGATTGTGTTTACCCATCTTATTTACCAAATAATTCTGCAAATAATGACTGTATTAGAACACCAACACTCTCTAAAGCTATGCCAAATAAAAATACCAGTTTTCTGCCAAACTATTTTCTCTCTTTATTCACTTGCTGCCAGTGGTAAATTGGTGCACATTATCAATAGAAAAGGGCTGCCACAAAGAGGCTGCCTGTACTGAACTAAGCCAGATAAGACGTGTGCAAGCCAAAACAGAATAGACTGTATCACACTGAAGGAATTGAACATGCAATGGGTTACTTTGAGTATTGTTAGGCCAGACCCCTGGGAACAGTGATAAAACCTTTTTCTGTTTTTGTATTTACAAGAAAATATGCTCAATACATATCGACCAAATAAGTAATTTTGCAATGTTTGTAATAGCTTGAGCAGTGTTTGACTGCCTCTGGTGGTAATCAGAGTATTTGTCTAATGCATAAATAAATCTATTATACATTTTTGAATATTTTCACTATGCATTTCTTTTCTGTTTTATTCTGAATTCACACATGACCACAATATGTGAAACCTAATGCAAGGCAAGTTTATTTGTATATCACAATTCATACACAAAGTAATTCGAAGTGCTTTATAGAATAAAAAAATACATTAAAATCACAAAACAAACAAAAACATAAATAATCGTCATCGTCGTCAACACTAAAAGAAAAGAGAGCAGAATAAGAACCTTTACTTTTATTTGGTCTGTTATGAAAAAAAGAAAAAGTCATGTATGTACTGACAGACGAAGACTTTGCTTCTCATATGGGCCTGAATCATCCACAGATTGCAGTATTGGTATAACATTAAATGTGTTTGCACAGGCATCAAGATACTCACTGCCTCGGTTGCTGTAGTAACGGCCTAGATTTCTGTATGTTGAAATAACTGGTGTGATTTTTCAGGAGCCGACATTCACAGCTGCTACCTGCTAAAGACAGCGCTAACAGTGAGAGTAACCTGGGTCATTCTGTGTCCAGCATCAGAGCCCTCATAACCAGGTATTATGTAAGTCCACAATCTTCTTTTAAAGTTGGTGAACCAGATTTTCATACTATGAACAGAGTAAGCTAATACTGACACTATTATCCGTACGCCAGTGAAAATAACAAATTTAAAATCATAATTTCAATTATTATGTGTGCTTGTTTTGTCCATCAAAAGTAGAGCAAATTTACTTTTCTAATTAAGATAGAGTTTCAAAACAAAGGTATCACAAAACATCACTAACAGAATATATTAGGTCCATATGTTCGCTACAGGTAAATTTTGACAGTGAAAGTAATGGTTTGAAATAACTGTGATTTCAATTACGTGCCAACAAATCATGACAATTTTTGCCTTAACCTATAAGATGTGTAATTTGTTGCAGGGTCCCACAAATCTTTGCATTCACTTGCGTTTTTCAGGTTTTAGAACAGCCTTTTTAGGTGGCCAAACTAAGCAGGGCAGCAGTACCTCACCCAGTCCACTCTCATCCCAAAGTATCGCACTTATATGTCTGAGTTTGCGATCAATAAAATGTGTTCTAATTAGATGCAGAGAGTGGACAGCAGTCTGAGTTTTGATGCAAAATGCTGCTTTTCCGACATACTCTTGAGGGAAAACTACATTTACAAGTCGGGTACCCAAGCTTAACCCTATTGACTTCCTCCTCCAGTCTCGAGTCAGTCTTCTCTTCGTCCTCTCCACAGCCATAGATTTCTTCTTCAATATTTTATCTTTCATCTGTCTGAAAAAATCCTTAGCAGTAATAAAATATGCCAATTACTATGAAACCATATTGATGTTAGATCAGATATAGAAAAAATGCTAAACAGAATTTCACATTAGTTAAGGGGTAGGCCTACAGAGGAATGTATTGAAGGACTTACTTTACTGGGCACTGTTGATGCTTCTCTTAAAGGGTGTATTACTCAGTCTTTGATTTATGTTATAATGTTGTTTCTCTCAAAAAAAGAAAATAAAAAAACAACACTGTTCCACCTTGTGATGTCATGTGGTAATACAGGAAGTACTCCACTGTGCTTATAAACTCCATACACCTTCACTAGAATCATTTGGATAATTTCAGACCTGGAATTCCCAGTCGCTACTGAACTAAATGTAAAAGGTTGCTTTCAAGTATCACTTCATTACATCACAAAGTGGAACAGAGCATTTTGAGCTTTTGAGATGGAGACAGACTAATAATTCAGAATTACTCAAACATATGTGAATGAAACAAAACACAACTCCAGGTAAGTTTTTGAGGAGGCAGCAACATTATAACATGACTTAAAGCTCACAAGAATCAGTTTTGTGCAATATAGGACCTTTAATGTTAACATGTTTCCTGTATCATTTTGATTATTTGTCCATCACAAAACCTCTCTCAGATAATGATTATTTGATAGCAGAATGAATTCAATAATAATTCAATAAACCTGTAGTTCTTTCAGTTCTTATGTGCAGTCTATAGTGAGAATTGCTTGGTCTGTACCGTGGGTATAGCTCCACAACAGCAGATCTGAAGTGAACTGAACAAGTGCTGTACAGATTCCACTTGATGAATGGCGATTGCATTTCAACTGGTTATGTTGATTCTGAGTCCCTGAACTCCGCTGCACAACTTAATTAAAAGTTTCTAGTTGGAGACCTGCTGATTGTAAATGACTACAGATGATGCTGGTGGGCCTAATGCTGATCTCAAGCTGTTCAAGCAGTTAATTACAAAAAATGATGTCGCAAACCAAATAGGTACAGATTGCAATTAATGCTTTATCAGTCTGGTTGCTACAGTGGTAAGGCCTCACATTGGTAATTACTTCCTGTTGAGGTCAGCCTATAATGGCAAAGGTATTTTTTTTAAAGGAAGACAATGCAACTTTTCTGATGGAGGAATTCTGAGTACGGATCTGATCCGGCACTGTGTGGATGCCTGAAAACCGCACTGCGAAGTAGCTAATTCACTGCCAAAATGCTTTAGGCTAGCATATATTCATATACACGGTCTATGCGTATGACCTGCAGACGTATAATCTCTGAAAAGTTTCACATGAACCATCTCCAACGCAATAGAAGCACAGAACTGACTCACTATCAGCAGAACACCCCTCTGTCACAGAAAGAACACATATAATCCACTGAGTCGTGTCCTTTAGTCCGACAGAAGCTGAACTGCATCAATAGCGAGCTGTTTTGAGCGCTCAGTGTATGCAAATTAGCCATGCGGTTTTAAGTTTCGTTTCTGTAAAATGCAAACACATATGCTCAAAGCTGTGTGGATAAGGAAGGACTGGGGACACAGAAACGACGTGTGTGAATGCAGATCGTTTCCAATACGGTTATACAGTGATACGCGGATTCGTTGCAGTGTAAACAATCAGGAGGTGCTTGTTGTACACAGAGTATGGCAAAAAAAATACATTAAAAATCTATTACCATGCAGACAAGCAAGGGACCATGTTTATTCAAGGTATTTTTGAGCAATAAAACTGATTGTAAAATAGATGCTGATGAATAGAAGATAATGCTACACTATGGAACATTCCCTGCAGAGCAAAAACATCTCCATGGAGACAAGCAGCTAGCGAACCCTTCACCAAAAACTTACATAGCGCCCCTTTAAACAAGTCATTATTAACAGCAAAGCGAGCAATAAGCCACCGTGTGCAAACGAACCACGCTGCGCCTCATGGGAAAGCCCAGCTGTTGCCATGGCGACTGCTCCGGGAGTTTTTCTTCTGAAGGACGTTCCTCTCTTTATCTCCCGGTCCTTTATTCCTCTGTGTGGGGGACAATCAAAGGTGTGACAGGTAGATAAAACCCAGCGCTAACGGGGGAGCGTGTGGAGGAGGAGACTGGGGCATGTTCTGTACACATGGGAAAGTGCCACGAGAAGGGCTTAAAGTGTTACTGTGGGATTTTGAGGCGTGTGTTTTATTCATTTGTGTGTGTGTGTGTTGTAGTTGGCTAAAAGAACAAAGTATTTTTTTTGTTTTGAAATGGCACGTTGAGCTTTGAATACTTTCCGGTGGGAGGTTAATATTGTGCGGTCCGCAGGGGGATCATTTTGTAGCAGTTGTGTAGTCTTTGTGCAGTTTGCTTGAGAAGGAAAAACTTCAAAAGTGGATTTTCTTTTATTATGAACTATCACTTCTTTTCATTCTGCTTGTCTCCATGGAGATGTTACTTTGTTTGGAATGTTTCACAGTATGGCATTAAACCTTTCTATCTTCATGGCAACCAAACCAGACCGTGTTACAAATTAAATCTGGGGAGAGACAACACTCACAGTCAGAATACTTGTTTTTCTAACTATAAAACCACCTATAATTGAATAAATGTAAGGTAGAGCTGTTCAATGGCACATCCATGGAAACAAGCAGATGATGGACCCTGATCCAAAAAGTTACTTAGTGCACCTTTAAGTCTCAATCCTTCTGTTGTGTTATGGGAGGTTAAAGGTTGTTCTCAGATTGAGTCAAGATCTAGTCGAGTGCCCAGAGCATCTTGTTGTAGATTTCCACTGCATGTTAGTGTTGTCACAATCCTAAAATTCGGTTTTAATATTCAGGGAATGACTCAATACTTGATAAAAAATTACGATTTCACAATGAAGATAAAACATGCTCCTTTTTTAGTAATACATTACAATTTCAGTGCACATCCTTAAATGTGATTTTTTTGCAGTCTCGATACCTCCTCAAATGAAGATCTAGTTTCAGTATTAGTTTTAGTATCAATCGGTATCACCTTTCAACTTTTTGCTTTTTTGTGGCAGAAAATTACATTCACTCTCTGTTAATTATGTCTTATTATAGCTTTAGTTTTTAGTCCATTTGTGTCACTAAAGATGGTGAAGAAATCAGATGAAGAAACTAGCAAGGTGGATGAAGTGTCTTGCTGAAGGACACAGCAGCAGTACGGTATATTTAACATTCCCTATTCCCTAACACTCTCTTACTCTTTTCCACTGGTACCTGGCTTTTGCTTTGCTTCATTTTAACACAAAGACCCACACTAATAAATGATCAAAATCCCCGTTTGACAACTTAAGGAGGAGATAGTGGGAGCATATAAGGTGATGGTGTCAGCACTGGATTAGTGCAGCGAGCGCCTGGTGGGTTTATTCTAGAAACTGCCTCCCACACCAGTGACAGACTTCCTCCTCCGCCTCTGAAAGGAACATGGGCACAAGAAGTGGGTTACATTCAGGAAGCGTCATCTCCACAGGGACAGCACAGGAAAAGGCAGAATCACAACAAGACAGGAAAACCAAACATTACAGCTGGCTTGTCACTGCTCGTCCGGCCAATAAGAGGCGAGTAGAGGAGAGGGGGATCACTTTAGACTGGTAATGGTGGAGGTAGGTGAAAGCTTATACTTCGTAAAGGTTGTAATGAGATCGGAGATGGTTGATTTGCATTGCGTTTTGTGCTATTATTACTCAAGCTTGGAATACAGAGATGGTTGCATCACAGAGAGACTTTCGCACCTAGAATTTTCACATTTCTTTTTGGATTAAGATGGTTTGTTCTTTGCATGTGACCTTTCTTCTAGTCAGTGAAACTTGTCAGGGGCAGTGGATGACCTGGTGACTCCATTCTCAGATCTTTAGCTGGTCAGGAATATTTAATCTACTGAGTATTTTAGTGTTTTAGTTTTCTGAACAGCTTTTGGAGCAAAACCCTGGCAAAATTCCACACATAAAAACTTGTTATACCTGGTTGTTCTATTTCTAATTAGGCCTGCAAGATTAATCACAATCGAACTGAACTACAAGTACTACTATTCCACAAAAAAATATATAAAAAAAATAAAAACTGCATAAAAACTGCTAACCTTGTACTTTAGTCAGTTCATTATTCAGTCTTTTTTGTGGATGCGTTTAAACTTTCAACTTTAAGCAGAATCCTTTTTTAAAATCGCAATACTTTTAGATATTACAATAGAATACAATTAGATATTTTTCACAAATCCTTTAAACCTCACTGTTTTCTAATATTTTCTAAAGATCCATGCTGAAGTATTCAATATCACATTACTGTATGTATTCACTAACAATGCCTTCTTGCTAAGATTATATCATTTATCATTATTTTGGTGAGCCTTCTCCATATAATAGTTTTAATTTATCCTGTATCTACACATTACATGCACTCATCTTGACATGTTTACACAAAGCTGTCATTTTGCTGTGTATTAGATTAAATTTTTTTCACCTCTAACCTGCAGGGCCCTGTGAGCAGTCGTGCCCTCTCCAGAGACCAGGCTGATGTAAACTAATCCTGGACCTGTCCTGCTCCCCTCCTCCTGGGTTGCCCTCTGGGTCCACACTCACCACTTCTGTTTTTCTGTGGGCCTTAATCAAAAAATACCCAACTGGAGCTTTTCCCCTGCCTGCTCGTGGTTTGCCTCATTGACTCCCTTGGGTGCTAAGGGCCATGGCGGTGCCCTCAGCGCAGGAGTTCCACTGGCAGAGTCTGGCCCGTCTGTCCAGTGGGCGAGTCTACCACACCCTGACCGAGGTGGGGGGGCAGATGTACGTGCTGGGGGGGTGTGACGCTGGAGGACGGCCATGTGGGGCACTAGAGCTCTACTCCCCAGAGGTAATAACAACAAATCACTATGCATGATAATTACTGTATTGACTTATCATTTAATATATGAAAGCTGGAGCAATATTTTTGGGGTCAGTATTTATCATGTGCACATTTTCTTTTTTTGGCTATATGATAAGATTTAAGATGTGAAAGGTTGAATTAATAACTTCTATGACTCATTAAATTTCTTTCTGCTGTTTATTTATTGCAGCTCATGTTTTTTTTCTACAATACTGTAGATGTAGCATAGTTTTAGTGGTTTAAATATGTTCTTGGGTTACTGCTTCATTGTTGTTTATTGCCTATATTTACTTTAATGTAAATTTACACATCTTTAGATTACACAGCTACAGATTAGTCTATATTACATTTATTTTACATTGTCGATATAGAAAACAAACAATTCACATTATTTGAACTAGTGAAATCAATAATCTACCAATTCTTTTATCAATTCCTGATCAAATCATTTGCATATTTCTTGGGTTATGTACCTTTTCAGTACATAGACAATACCTTTACCATACCAGTAACTGAACACTATATTTTAGACTATTTTTAAGTAAATAACAAAACTGAATCATAATGCTCATAAATCAATTAAACACAGTGTCTATGAATAAAAACTGCACTTTTTAATTGTTAGTTTATAGTGATGGTGTCGGCTATAAACAGTAAATCTTGCTCTCCCAGGAACCATAACACATCAAAACTTATTAGCTTTTTATTTTTGATACCCAAATGTTTTCTGAACAATACTGCAACAACTTTTAATGGTACCTGGCCCTACAGATTGTAATGGTCAGCTTGGGGCTCTTTAAATAGCATGATCTAACAGCCAATGAAGTATAGTTTGGACAGGAGTTTGCAGCAATTATGGTATTTTGTGGTCAATTGCACTGACTAACACACAAATATTTGTAGCAGAAAGCAAAATGAAAATCAAGTTGGCAACAAAAAATACAAAGAAAAACTAAACTGTGATCCCAGCCCGAATGTGAGCAGTTTCTAAGGCTGAACAACTTTCAAAAATGTCATATTATTTTGTTTTGTTATTAGATTTCTATTAAAACAAGGATTAAGCTCATAGTGCACCTTTTGAACTTGCCTTGGAGCATCAACATTTCAAACTGAAATATGATTTTCTACCAGCCACCCTGTCCACCTAACTGACATACTTTGGTCTTTTTTACCAGGGAGACAAGTGGATCTCTCTCCCCCAGATGCCTACACCACGGGCGGGGGCGGCGGTGGCTGTTCTTGGGAAGCAAATCCTGGTGGTGGGGGGAGTAGGGGAGGACCAGAGACCCATGAAGGTGGTAGAGATGTACCACACGGATGAAGGCAGGTGGAGGAAGCGGAGCGCCCTCCGGGAGCCTCTCATGGGCCTCTCCATCGTAGTCAAAGGTACATGTATTTGCACTTTACCCACTTGTGAAAAACTTAAGTACTTTTGAAAATTTTGCTTCAACCTCCCCTGACCCATGTGGTTTGTTTTGTAACCGCAAAACTGCAGTCCAGTTTATCAGGACTCAACAAAACACCACAAACTTTCTTTTTTTTAATTTCTTTTGCTTTTGGTCTAGTATGATCTTAAACTGGAATTCCTGGTAGAGTGTTTGTCCACTGATATGAAGGTTGCCGGTTTGAATTCTGCTCTCAACATAAACCACTGGCCGTGCGGACTGAGTGCCTTGAAGGTGGAAAAGCGCTATATAAAAATATGACCATTTACTAAATTCTTAATATGTTTTAATGTTTTTAATGTTTTGTGGGCATATATTTTGGCTGCACTTTCTATTGAGTTTGCCTCCATAAATCATATTGTAATGTTCAATTCTATGTATTTTTCTGTAGGCTAAAATCACAATAGCACTCGCCTCTCAGGACTTAAGCAAAATATAAGTTAGAAAATTAGAGAGTTCAATACTCATTGGTTTATAACTAACGAGCAGATTAACCAACATTATCTGGAAACAAGGAAATGGATGACAGTCCCAGAGTGTCCCCTGTTCTTAGGCTCTTCTTCTCATCAAGGAAAAACTCCAAAATACCAGTGGGGAAAAAATAAACCCCAAGGAAATCCACAATGAAGGAGAGACCCACTCCCTGGACTGACACGCTCCCATTTGCAGATACTATATAGTTAGAATCCCTGACACCTGTGGATCATAATGTTATATTTTGAAAATTTTAGATCACAATATTGATTTAAAATAATTTATAATATAAAAGAAACAATTCCACTGATTTCCAGGTTGGAAAAATGCTGAGTTATTGGGAGCTGATTCCCACCTGCCCCTATGGTACGCCTCTGTAAATGTCATCACAACAAAATGTTGCATGCTGTCAGACCCTCCTTTGGATAGGATCATGGATCATGCTGGCAAGATAAAGCAGATAAAAAAAATGTACATGCTTCACCAATTTTTTAAATAAAACTGGAGATCAAAGTAAGTATAGCGCAGTGGGTGTTAACAGGTAGGGGGGAAACTGGGGGTCGATCAGAGCAATGGCATCTTGAATGCAGGAGAATAAATGTTAGTCAAACATGCACAAATCACTCAAAATACATGTTTGTGTGAGTTAAAGAGAGGGGAAAACAAGTATTATATGGTTAAAACCTCTTAAAAATCTTTTGTGTTGAGCATGTGGAGAGAGGGATGGGGGATTTTTATTATTTTTTTCGTTATTGTGTTTTGTTATTGGTGCTTTGTGTAATTTTCGGTGGAAAATGCTTTTCTCCATGGAAATGTTATTGCTTTGTCTGGAATGTTTAACAGTATGGTATTAAACCTTTCTCTCTGCATGAAGGCCAGACCAGACCAAGTTACAGGTCAGATCTGTGGAGAGGCAACCTCACTCACAGTCAGAATGCCTGTTTTTCTAGCTATAAAACCACCAGTAATTTAATAAATGTAGGGTAGAGCTGCTTAATGTCATACTGTGGAACATTCCAGACATCTCCACAGATAGGAGTTACACAATGCACCTAAACAAAATTTAAAAGCTCTTAAAAATAGATTTTGCACAATAACATTTCTCATTTCTTCTTTAAACATTTATTCACCAACGGTAAGAGGGTTATGTAATGCCACTGGAAGTATGTTAACAATAACTAGGCCAGTCAAATGTTGCATGCATTATTTGGTTCTTAGTTTGTGCCCAGTGAAGTGGCACATCTGTCACACTGTGCTACAACTCAGATAGATGTTGTAAACACAGTTATTGGATGTGAGATACGTTTTATCGTGCTGCTCTCTCAATCTCCCTGACTCATCTTCAATACTTGGTCCTTGGTGAGCTCACCCCTCCCCCTGCCCATCCCCACCAGCCAAAACTGAGACAAATAGTCTGACAGAATGATCGATCACGCCAAATTAAACGAATATGATATTTTGAAATGGATAGTCAGCCATGCACCCAGCTAAATGATGCAATTTGTATTGACATTTGTAGGATCATTGTTTTGGATATAAAATAATGAACAACAGGTAATGAGATATTTCTTTCCTATAGCGGTCACGAGCAGGGCCACAAATGAAATAGCGTTATATAATAGAATCTTGTGTGTGGAGCTTGCTAGCATCCAGACTTCTTACTGGAGTGTTTTTTGGAGTTTTGACACTCTCACCCACATCCATTCTTATGCGGGAGGTGTCAAAGCAAAGTGCCAGACATGGACTTGTGCATTCTGCAGGAGCACTGTGTGTCCTGTTCATGTCTGTCACAGTCTCATGCCTCATCACCAGCTTTCCTCACATCCTGCTCCTGCCCTGCACCTCTCCAGCACTTTAAATACACCGCACTAAATATAGAATTCAAGTGAGAATCTGTGGTGTAAGAGAATTTTGCTCAGGTTTAGTTAAAAGGTATTATGGAAAATTGACTTGTGAGCTTTAATATATGTTATAATGTTGTTACCTCCTCAAAAACATACCTGGAGTTGTGTTTTTGTTTCATTCACACATGTTTGAGTAATCCTACTTTATTAGTCTGTCTAAATCTCTAAAGCTCAAAATTCTCAGTTCACGTCGTGTCATGAAGCAGTAGTTATCAAGTTAACAGATGCCTTTTACATTTTGTTCAGCAGAGAATGCACAGATTGGCAATTCCAAGACTGAAATTGTCCAAATGATTCTAGTGAAGGTGTATTGAGTTTACTAAACACAGTGTAGCACTTTCTGTATTACCATGTGACATCACAAGGTGGAACATAGTGTTTTGTCAATGAAACACAACTCCAGATATATTTTTTATGAGGAAACAACATTATAACATAGACCAGAAAATAGCGTAAAATGTGCCCTTTAAAATTGTTTGTCACTCCCAAATATTTTCTTCAGTGTAATTTTAAAGTCAGCATTAAGATCAGATTTACTAATATTTGAAAGTAAAAAGCTAACTGTTGACTTGATGATTTTGTGTAGAAAACCGAGCTTTGGCGGTGGGGGGAATGGGTGCAGACTTGCTGCCTCGTAGCATCCTTCAGCAGTATGACCTTCGGAAAGATGTGTGGGCTCTGCTCCCTCCCATGCCCACGCCACGTTACGACGCCAACACTAACCTGCTGGGAAACAAGCTCTATGTGGCAGGTACGTGCACCACACCATAAGTAACTATGGAACCTATACTACAAAAAATACCTTAGTGATAAAGTTAGATTAGGCCAACTGTATCAGAATCAACAGTATTTCATTTCTGAGCAAAAAGTTCCTAAAAGGTTCCAATACTGCTAGGCAAGAGCTGCAGTATTTAAAGATGCATTGTGTAATTTTTTTGGTGGAGGGTCTGCCATCTGCTTTTCTCCATGGAGATGTTATTGCTTTGTCTGAAATGTTTTACATTATGGCCTTAAACCATTCTGTCATCATGGAGACATGAAGTTACTGGTCAGATCTCTGGAGAGGTGACCCTGCTTACAGTCAGAATGCCTATTTTTAAGTGATAAAACCAAGTGTAATTGAATACATGTAAGGTAGCTCTGTTCAGTTACTTACAATATATAAACATTGTTGGAAAAAAATGGACAACAAGAGCTTCAGTTTAATGTTTGCAAATGAAAATGTTTGATTATTATTATTAAGTTCAAAGTGAACACCTTTTAATACAAAATGCTATTAAACTGATATATCATAAAGATAAAGAAGACATTTCATTCTTGAATATGTAGAATATATTCTGATGCGTGTAATCATAAAAACATTTAAAAATCTGCCAGTTAATGTCATATTGTGGAACATTCAAAGCAGAGCAATGACATATCCAACTGAAACAAGACTGACCCCTATCCGAAAAGTTACATAGTGCACCTTTAACATAGTTTGATCAACTTGATACAGTTTGGCTATTTTACTTTCCTAAATAATGTTAATAAAATGTTCTTTTGCAATTAAAATAAAATTCTTGTCAAGACTTCTTTCAGCAGATACCATATTATACCTCATCAAGGACCTTGCAAGGAAACAAAGCACAAGTAACTTTGCTGTAGTGATCTGAAAAGTGAAGTGTTAAAAAGGTTAGTTGCAATAAGACAGAATACATGTGGGAATGAGACAGATGGTGCAGAGTAATTGAGTATGCAGTGAAGAGGCATAACAGAGGACAGCACATATTAGATATTTGGAGATAAAGTCATAGAGGTCACACTGAGATAGTTCAGGCATTTAATTTAGAAGTAGATTCTAAATGTGACCTTATATTATGACTTGATTTTATCTTATCCAGGTGGGCGTCAGTGTAAAAGGCCAGTGAAGAGCTTGGAGGTGTACGACACAGAGGCACGTAGCTGGAGCACCCTGCCTGCACAGCCCTGTAAACGCTCCTATGCTGGGGTGATATGGGACCCCATGGGGAGGCTCTGTCTGCTGGGTGGACTGAGGCAGGGGGGAGGACACCAGAACTCTAAATTCACCAAGAACGTCAACATTTTCGACACCAATCAAGGTACATGGAAGATTTTCTCTTAACAGGATCATATTTGTGCAATTTTATGTTATGTCTATAGCTGCATAATCTGTAAAACATACCTGGAGTTTTGTTTTGTTTCATTCACACATGTTTAACACACAAACCCTACATATTTAGGCTTTAGAGTTCTTCTCTTTAACAGAAGACACTCCATGGCATCACACCTTGTGATGCCATGTGGTAATGCAGAAAGTGCCCCATTGTTGTTGTTGTTGTTTCTTATTGTTGTTGTTTTTTTCACTAGAATGATTTGGATAATTTCAGCCCTGGACTTGCCCATCTCCACTGAACTAAAATTAAAGGATAGCTGCTAACTTGAAAGCTGCCACTACCTGACATCACAAGTTGGAACAGAGCAGTTTGAGCTTCGGAGATGTATTCACACTAATAATAAAAGATTCCTCAAACGTGTGAATGAAACAAAACACAACTCGGGATATGTTTTTAGGAGGTAACAACATTATAACATGGCTAAAAGCTGAGAATCATAAAATAGGACCTTCAATTTATAGAAAGATTTCTGTTTTCATCAAGCTATTTTCTGTTTATCAGGGTTGTTGGTTTCAAGTTCAGGCAGGCCTACTGTAAAATGTGAATTCACGCTTTCCCATGTGAATTTTTTTCTCCATACATAGACTTCAGAATGATGAAAAATGTGGATTTGTCACAGCAATTAACAATGTAAAACAAAACATACCTTTTAAATGGGAAAAATCCTCAAAACCTGTTGCAAATAACAGGGAGCTAAAACCTGTGAATAGAATAAATGGTGAGAACTAGTGCCTGTCATTCCTGTAAACTGTAAAAAAAAAAGTGCAGATTAGAGGGAGTGACATGACCTCAAAATCTGAATCTTAATTTGAGCAGTTTTGACTAGTTTTGATTTATTTACTTGATGAACCTAGGTGATGACATCATTTCATAATGTTTCTGACTTGTTTCAACATATTGCCTCTCATTTCAAGCTTATTAAAATCTGCCAATGGGTGAGAAAATTACACTTTATAAAAGATACATTGTAATACCCTCTGGCAGATTTAGTTTTTTCAGACCATCTTGGAATCAATTAGAAATATGAACAAGATAAATAACCTCAGTTTGATATGAAGAGATAGTTGTCATGTTGATACTACTATAGATTGTTGACACTGCTACACTATACTATACAACTTATCCAATCTTTTAACAATACTTCAATCTACTTTTTTTTTTTTTTTTTTTTAACAGAAGAATGTTATGGCTAGAGATTCTTCCCTTCATGTTTCATTTTCAGTTTACATTTCTCAAATCAAGACCATATGGCGTTCTGTGTTTGCAATACTCTGAATTCATGTAATCTTTACCGAACATAGATTAATTTTGTGCAGTGGAGAATGGAGATGGGAGAATGAACTTGGAATAGCATTTGCACCCAGATATCAGGCTCTATCCACTCAATGTTACACAAAATAAGATGCATGTTCCTACCATGTTGTTTTCTAGGCAGACTTTGCAATATGGACCAATAATGCACAACAGAATGAAACAAAGTACATTCCAGTATTAATACCATGCAGCACAGAGGACAGACCTGTATGCTATTTTCCATTGTCAGTTTTTACAACAAATGCATGCTTCTTCATTTAAAAAAAGAGAAACCTGCATGACAGAAAGTAGCATTGACTTGACTGTGAAAAATGGCTTTCTGCTCAGACAGCCTCATTCCTGTCTTAATTCTGTTCAGGAGCTCGCGCCCCGCTCCACAATAGAATGACTTATCCTTCGCCGCCAAAGGCACCCCCGAGTAACAGGTGAACAAATTGAGGAGGGACCGGAAGGAGATATGGGGAGGAGAGAAATCGATAAGTCATTTTCGACAGGCTCCTCTTCGCATTCACACATTGGGCGCGCTTGGATGGAAGACAAATAAAGCAGAACATGAGGGCGATAATGTTAATGTATGATAATGGAGAGAAAGTTTGCCTATCCCGACGATAGCATACCCGCCACAGATCCACGTGCGCGCACATCCGGGGGTGGGTGGGGGAGGGGGAGAGCGCAAACCCATTCCTCCGATCTAATTTGGCGGAGATGAGATGGGAGATGGGCTGCGGAGGGAGGGCCAGGGAACGAGCAGCGCTTTAAATTACAAGATCCAGAGACAGATTGCTTTATTATCCATCTCCAGCAATATCTTGGCACACGCTCGCGCAATCAGCTGTCACACGCACACACAACACTTTTCTATTACAGTTCTATTCCATATCACAGTATTAGGACGCATTGCCTGTTAAGAGTTTTGTATGTTGGACACTGGGCAAGCGAAATGGACAACAGGCATATTGGAAAAAGTTTTACTCATATCTGTTACTATCTGATTCCTAGGTTTAGCAATATCTTTCTATTGTTGTCATTGCAGTTGTAAATGTCTGGTATTGAAAAGTTACAAAATGGTGTTTCAGATATAGATTAGATTGTACTTACTTAGAGTTAAATTGTTATAATCATTTTTTCCCTAACTGTTTTGGGCTTAGATATCAAGCAATATAAAGACTTAGACTTAAAACCACAGACACACTGATGGAATATGAGATTCAAGAGGAAGAGGACATTTCAGATTTTCACCTGCATATTATAGTATTTCACTTCTTCTTCTTCTTTGGACAGCTTGAATCCTAAAGGTGCTTTATGTAACTTTTTCTGGTACTGGGTAATCCACCTGCTTGCCTCCATGGAGATGTTTTTACTTTGCCTGAAATGTCCAACAGTATGGCATTGCACTTGTCTGTCTTCCACATATTCTGTTTTGAGTGTTTTGAGCAAGGTCGCTTCTCCACAGATTTGACCTGTAAATTGACCTGGGGGTGTCTCCAAGTTTGTTTCCACAGAGCTAATTAAGTTTAATTTCATAGTGTGAAACATTCCATGCAGAACAATATAACTGAGACAAAATGGTGGCAGATGCTCTAGAAGAGTTGTGCAGGGGAACTTTAAAACAGACTAACATGCTTACCACAGTGACCAGCACTGTTGGGCAAGTTACAAGTTACTGTCATTTTTTTACATTACAATATTACTGCATTTAAAATGTAAGGCATTACACAACTATTGCAGCACTTTTAAGTTACTCTTACCAAAATAACATGTTGAGTGAAGTTGCCGAACTTTTGTGCCATATATGGAGTGTACCAGCACTAAACCAGGTCTGAACTGAGGACTGAACCAGGACTGAACCAGGACTGAACCAGGACTGAACCAGGACTAAACCAGGTCTAAACCAGGTCTAAACCAGGACTAAATCAGGTCTAAACCAGGACTAAATCAGGTCTAAACCAGGACTGAACCAGGACTAAACCAGGACTAAACCAGAACTGAACCAGAACTGAATCAGAACTGAGTCAGGACTAAACCAGGACCAAATCTGGACTAATCTTGGACTAGGATTTGGAATTCAGGACACCCCTGAGAGACCCCATAAATCCCATAAAAAAAATGGAGCAGGGTGTCAGCAAAGCGTGATTGGGCGTCGGCTGAGATTAGCCCTGTTGACCACAGATCTTTGTGCCTGTCCTTTCGCCTGCAGTCACCCGACGGTCTACGCGGGCACACCTCCATGCACCTCCCAACATTCGAAACTGTAACGATGGCGTTTCACCACTGCTGATATCATGGTGATTTTGCAAATTTGTATGAAGAAAAACAAAACACCCACCACTTCATTCCAGGTTAAAAATGCACTGTAACGCGCGTAACTGACATTCCCCTGTAATGCCTTACATTACTGCATTACAGCAAAAAGCAATGCATTACTGTAATTTGTTACTTTTATAATGCGTAACTCCCAACACTAGTGACCAGCAATAAGACTATTTGCTACTATATTATGCATATGTATTGCAGACTTTTGGCTCTCTTTGTAGTGTTTTTTGTGATATTTGTACTATGGAAGAGTTGTAAGTTTGAATAGGCTGCTCTGTTTTAACTAAAGCCTGGTTTATCTGTCAGCATATTGAGTAGGAAAAACTTTCTTCCTCTGTATACCTTTGCAGCTCTCTTCTTTACGCTGTCTGCTCCCCATCTGCCACTGTATCTGTTTTAAAACCAAACAAGCCCTCCATGTTTCTCCAGATGTATTTACTCATGTTAGTTGTACTGTCTCGCTGTTTACCTTATTTGTACTGTAATAGTGGCAGTGTGACAAATCCACACGAGTTTATAGAGACCACCAAAGACACACGCTAATTAGAAGCTTCTGAGACTGAGGATGAGTGCAGGCGGGAGAAACCACAAACCATCTGTCCCCTGTGGCTGGACACTAGCTAAAGCTCACATCTTTTTGTTTTGATTTAGTTTTTACCAAACAAGCCCTAAAAGCAACAAATATAAGAAACAAAACAAAAATGTAGTCAGAACACAGGGCTATGTTGTAGCAGTTGCTCAATTAGTAAAATCACGCATCCAAAGTTGACGGCTAGATCTCTACTGCATACAGTCATGTCCTTGGGCAAGACTCTTTACCCATCTAGTCTTTGTGTTGGTGATTGGGGGATTTGTTGGAGCAGTAGAACCTATTTATGTTGTTGAGGATATACAACAGTAAATGAGATACAGACTGATGCACTCATAATACAAATGCACTGATAAAAATATTACTGCTTATTGTATCAGTTCTATCAACTATTTACTGGAACTGGTCAATAGAGCGTGAAAAACCTCTGTCCAAACTTGAGCCGATCCAACCACAGCTGCTAATTTGTAGCATGTGTCTCTCAAGAAGACATCTCCGCTTCAAAATTCTCATTTCCATTCTCATCCCTCCCTTTTTTTTTTTTTTTTTTTTTTTTTTTTACATGTAAGCAGCCATGTAAGTTTTTGACGTGAACGGACCATCCTTCTCTGATTACCTTGAGCAAGGTCCAAACAAACAAAATCACATTTCCTTACGAGTTTTTCCTCAGAGTCTAGTGCTTCACTTATTGATTCAGTAGAAATGTGCA